CTCTCCTCTCTCTCTCTCTCTCTCTCGCTCTCTCCTCTTCTCCTATATTATATACTAGCTAGGGCTACCCGCCGCATGCCCCGAGGATTTTTTGGCTGGGTTGTACGCTTTCTGCTATTTCCATGCGTTTTTTCTGCTATTCGCTTGCGTTCTCGGCCATTCGCTGACGGTTTGAGCACTGCACTAATATAGTCTGGGCGCGATAGGAATTTGCTATTACTTTTCTGCTGCGCATAGGATTCGTTCTTGACTTTTCTGCTGCAGTGTAATACTATAGTGGCAGCGCCCTAGGATTGCTGTGAATTGCTTAAACTTTTTATTGCTGCGCTAGTACTTTTTTTGATGGCCGAATTTTTGGCCCTAAAATAGTCGCTCACGTCATGCCTGACTTGAGAATATACCCTCACGGGCACCCCCCTGGCAAGCCCCTGGCGATGCAACATAATAGGTCTTTTGGGCGTAAAATGCGTTGTCGCGTCGTGCCTGATTACATGCGCTCTAAACAGAGGAATTGCCTCCGAACCTGTGATAATCAAAAAAACCCCCGCGACTGCTCCGCCTATTATGTCTATCGACCCGGTAGGGAACGTGTACCTAACTATAAGATGGCCAGCGAAGGATTTGCCCAGTTAGCATGTAGAAATTGATAGCTATTATATAGACACATCAGTGGCATGTTGTTAGCCGCTATAAAATGTTAGGTCACTACTATACTCGTAGTACTACATAATTACTATTTAATATAATTCACTATAATCATATAATTAACTCATAGGTCAGCCGGCTATGACCGGTGAAACGAAACCTCGACGATTGTATTGTGATCATGAATCTGCAATGACAGTCGGATCTAGCTAATTATAGACACTCATGCTGACATCAGTGTTTTAGCCTAATCTTAGCGTCATACTATACTGATAGTACTATTAGTAATAATGAAATTACTATATAATTATACTAATTATTATAATAATATAATATATTATAATAATTATTGTATATTCATAATTACTATTTATTCAGTATTATTAGGTATAATTACTATTAATATATTACATTACTACATAGGTCACCGGCTATGACGGGTGAAAGACGAACGTGAACGAATTGTATTTTTGATCATGGAAATACTGCAATGACACGTCGGAGCAATTCCTCTGTTTAGACGCATGTATGCTGATTGAAAATATATATTGGTGTTGGCGGTGACCCTGGTAGCGGAGAGAGAAGATAGAAGACGTGACAGACCCCAGAAAAAAACAGACTCGCGCCCTTTATGCAATTGCGTAAATGTTTTTTTGGCCTAAAATGGGGCCCAAGGATTAAGACAACATGGGGTCCTCCAGATAAAACCGAATGTTGCCTAACCCTAACCCTAACCTCTAATTCTAACCCTAACCTTTATATGCATATATATTATATTTATACTTGACTTGTAAATCGACATTCGGCTTTTATTGACGGACCCATGTTCTGCTCATCCTTGAACCTAAAAATTAAAATGGCTCTCTGGCGAGCTGACTTTGCTGAGAAGTGCTAACTTTTATGCTTTTTATGATTTCGTATGATTTTTAATACCTATATGAGGTGGTCTCCCTTCGAACGCGCTAATAATTCAGTTATTGTTATTCGTGGGCTGTAATTGACAACCATCAGCATACAAAAACTACACTGCCGAAAATTCGCGAAAGGCAGTAGGTGGGTATATAGCCGCCACGCGCGCGGACATATTTATAAATTCGACATTCTTCTTGTATTTTTGCTATTGTTTTTATTTGTTGTTTCCGCATCTTAAAATGCGTTCCATACCATCAAGTACCTTAATACGCATGTATGCTGATTAAGAATCATATATCGGCGTGTTGGGGGTAAAAACTTTTTCTTTTTACGTGGCGGCGGAGAAGATTAGACAGCACAGCAGACAGACAGACCAGACAACACAAAAACGGCTTCCTAGCCGCATTATATGATAGATTAATATACTATAGATATACAATATAATATTATATATATATATATATATATTTTATATATATATATATATAGCTCAGTGAAGGCATGTTTTAACTACGTGCATGTCATCCTCCTGACATAAACTTGAGTAAAAGTGATCACTCGTGGTCTGAACTGCTAGGATCCGATTATAGGACTGGTCTCGTGCTTACGCGATTTTGCTGGCATCTTCTAAAGGGAATTATCTTATACTTGAGCACAAGAGATTTTTATGACGAATTCGCGAAGCCAACTAAATTAAATACCCACTCTGTTATGATTATATGAGACGAGTGGCATTTACAACAAGGGCTGCAATGTTACAATGTTTCCAGTTTTCATTGCAGATCTCTTATATATTATTATTATAATATTGATTATTGTAATAGAGATTGATTATAATAGACAGGTAGGGTTTTATACAGACAGACAGAGATGGTTTTATAATAGACAGGGAGGGTCAGAAGTGAACAGAGACAGGAGTGGTTATTGTTAAGCACTAAGGTTTGTAAACTAACGTTCGATGATGCGCATAGGAACTATTGGCTGTCTGTGATACTTCTCTTCCGAAAATTTGTAGTATTTTGACCTAGGAATATGCTATAAATTGCGTCGAACGCTATACTATATAATAAAATATTATCATTATGTTACATTGTCCTGAGTGATAGCGTGAATGAAAGAGAAGGCACGCATGCGCTCACACGAGCATACTGACTCACTCAATCACGCACGCACGCACATGGAGTGAATGATTGCATACTGTACAACATGAACAGCTGGCATGATGACTAACAACAAAACAGGTAAACTTCAACTATGAACCGTTAGGCTAACTAAAGCCCCCGTCACACTAGAGCTACGCTCATCACGATCGCCCCACGCTCAAAAAAATGGCCGAGCGTGGTGAGAGCGTGGCCAATTGGGCCCCAGCGCTGATACTACGATCTAATTACGTCGATACAACGATCTAAGTGCGTCTTTACCCCGATCTCATTGCGCCCAACAAGCTTTCACCACGCTCCATACCACGCTCAACACCACGCCCACATCGCGCTTGCCCGTACCGCGCCCGCATCACTGCGCTCACTGCGTCTTTATTTCGACCAATCAGATCGCATTGAGTTTGAACGACGCTTGCCCTGCGCCTAAGCAACGCTCACCGCGCCTCAACTGCACGCCAGTCACGCTCCTAGTGCGACTTAATCACGCTCTAGTCAGGCGCCGACAACGCGCTGGCAACGACCATATAAATACCGCGCTGCGTTCTAAACATCATCATTCGTTCTGCCGTGCTGTTCACATCAAGATTATTTTCTACTGATGCTACAACTATGCCGCCAAAAGACAAGGGGAGAGGCCGTGGAAGGAGTGAAGGCCGAGCAAAGAATCCAAAGAGGTCCAGGAGTCCGTCATCTGCATCGAGTGTTGCCCTGGAATCAGAGCCTGAGCAACCTCAAGCCTCCCAGCCTCAAGAATCCCTGCCTCCAGCCGCGCAGACCCATGAGAGTGACGTAGACACCGACGCTGCGAGTGTCACCAGCAAGACCAGTGTAGCCAGAAAGGGCAAGAAGACCAAGATCCACAGTTCCCTGACAGAGGAAGAGGAGCAGAGCATGGTGGATTGGCTGGCAGAAAACACTGTCTTCTACAACAAGAGGATGAAGGCCTACAAAGACATGACGAAGAAAGAAAGCCTCTGGAGAGAGAAGGCAGCCGAGCTGGGGAAGGATGTAGCCGAGCTCAAGCTCTGGTACAGCAGCCTCCGGACCCGCTTTGGACGTCTGAAGAAGAAGAAATCTGGCCAGGAAGATGTGGAGATGACAGAGAGGGACGAGTGGGTCTACAACCATTTCCAGTTCCTGGTGCCTTACGTCCACGAGGTTCAGCCCAAGACAACTGTAAGTGTAAGTAGTCTTAGCCACTTGTTTAGTGTAACTGTGTTTATTAAACTTATTAAATAAAGTAATGTTATAAAATAAAGTAATGTAAAATAATGTAATGTAATAAAGTAAAGTAATTAAATAAAGTAAGTTATTAAATAAGTGTTTATTAAATAAAGTAATTGGTAATTCGAAACATGTAATATGGAAACTACTCCACCATTGTACCTGCTGCGAAGTAACTCTGCAGGCTATATATAGGCTGTTCAAATCACTTGCCTCTTGTTCTTGTGTATGTTGCAGATGAAACAGAAGATTGCTGTCACCACTACCTCTATCAGAGCTGCACAAGAAGACGAGGACATCGGTGACGATGACATCAACGACACAGTCATTGAGCCGTCTCAACAGACACCAGGAAGCAGCAAAGCATCTGAAGAGCAACAGCTGACTCCAAGCATCAAGTCGGCCCAGTCCAAACGATTCATAGAGATGGAAGAGGCCCTCCTCGCTGGGATGCAGCAAAGGACCAGCACGATGATGGCCATGCATGCGGAGTACATGGAGCGGCAACGTGGCAAGGACCGTGAACGCGAAACATTCGTGGACTGGATGCGTTCGGTGATCCACGAACTAGATCACGGTCTATGGAGGATGTGCCAGCGAGAGCTGACCTCCGTCCTATACCGATACCTGGACGAGAATGATGAGCTGAAAACTAAGCCAACCACGAGTGTGAGTAGTGAGATCGGGGCCATCGTATGACGGGGGTATTACAACCTCCAATTCGCTAATGCGTCTTACCGCGATATGGCACTCCAACTCCCGAAGTCTGAAACGTCGAGCATGAGAATAAGCATATTCGAATATAAGCATCTTCGTTCATACTTTGACGAAAAGCCTGGATTTACGCACACCAGTTATGCACACACGTCTGTTGCTTAGGATGTTGGAAATCAAAATTTAAAATCATGCTCGAGCGAACGGCTATTTTCTGTATGAATGCCTGCTTGACTGGGTGATGGTTGCCAATAGTGATATCAGCGTTGTTCAGTGACACCGCGCACCGGCGATCGAGGTACAAACAAAATTTCATTTGTTTACGCAATAAATTTCTAAACACGGCACAAGTCTATGATTTATCCATACTCCCCCGCCTGTGAGTATCTGACCCCTTAATCTATGACGCTTACACGATCTGATTTCGAATGAAGATAACCCAAGTAACGGCATGAATAAATGATAACCAAACGTTGATAAGATGCGTGTATGTGTCCTCAACGTGTTTGTGTTTTGTGATAAACTATAAATATAGTTATCTATATTATTTCTGTGGTCGTAGCCGAGTCCCCCCTGTTTTACCGGCCGCCTATCTCATCAGCACCGCATGCAGACCCCGACAGCTGTCAGTGGGGGTAAGGTCGGCCGGCTGGCCGATGCAGCTCATTGTCGGACCGACTGTTGTGTAACACGGCTCACCAGCCAGCTACTGTTGGCAGCTGCTGGCACTTGCGATATACCCTGCTACGGAGGAACCCCGCGTCTCCGCTCTCGCGCACGCCCAAGTGCCGCAGCGCCGACTAGGTAACATTACGTAAGTGCAGCCAATCTGCCCGGAGCGATAGAACACACAGGAATGTGTGAGCCCTAATGGCGCTCTAACGGCTCAGAGGATAAAATGATTAGGGTGATTTGCACAATACACATCGTGCTAGAAATTGGTCAGAGCGGTCATCCACCAGTTGACCCACGATCCATCCGGCAAGCTTTTGTATATTCATTCGACCCACAGCTAGCCTGCAGGTCCGCGAAGCAGCAGCTCCCAGCAATGCGGCGGCTAATCGCGTGTAAGCATCGTTTATTGTTTACTGAAACGACGCTGGCTGGCAAGAAATAGTTAGAGAGCAGTTTAGTTTAGTAGATTGTGCACATGACGCAGGTGTTTGTGTGCGTGCGTGCGTGTGTGAGTGTGCGTGTATGCGTGCGTCTTTTTCTGCATCTACGCAAGTCGGTCGACGCGCACACTCACACGCCAGAGAGTGTTTCGTATACTCGTATTTCAATGAGCGCACACAGCAAGTGTGGTATGACCTCTGCTCTCAATTCGCCCTCCTGCCAGGCTCTTCACCCGGGGTCTGCTGCAGAGCTCCCTTACAGACCACACACCCGAATACTGTATACGCTGTATATTTCGCGGTGGTTTAATTTTCGCGAATTTCGCGAACGTGTCACCGACCGCGAAAATAACAACACGCGAATAGTTCATACCGAATGATACGGAATAATTCATAATTCACCGACCGCGAAATTGTCCGTCAAGTCTGAATTCGCGAAAATATCTGTACGCGAAAAACATGGCGTATACAGTAAACAAATCGACTCAAGCAGGCGATCTGGACGAAAATTGCGAGGAGCAGGCGAGCAAGCAAACCCCGACATGCGACCGTGACGATAACGCCATGCAGGAGTCGACACTACCACGCTCGCCGCCGCCGCCGCCGCCATATCACACCGACTGACTTCGCACCTAAACGACTCGCCATTTAATTTGCCACAGCGACATTCGCTAACCCCTTTGATAAACACACTCGCGCTTTCGAGGCACGCCTCTCGCGGTCGGTCGTGCGAGAGAGCAAATCGCCAAAAACTGGTTCCATGGCCCGTTTTTACGTAGCGCTTGCCACTCGTAACCCAGAAAACGGAGAGCCGCATCAACGGAAGCGCTCGTACGTACCGAGAGACATGCCGACCCGGCTGCGAAAGTGAAACGCGCAACTGCCAGCGTTGGTGTCTAGACTGTTTGCGTAATCCTAAAAAAATGAGGTGGGGGAAAAAAGCTCATCGGGGTTCGAGTAAAAAACAGCGCAATCCCCCTTTTACTCTCGTGCGCGACTTTTTAACGGTCTGTAGCTCCTCATCGAGTTCCGTGGAGAGTTGTGACTAAAACCAGCGACACCCGCCCCCACCCGCACAGTCGCTGCAAAAACCATCACACATGCTGGAGCCTTCTTCATTCACGTGCCAGGCCAAGAAGGTCGCCTCACCGGCTACTCGTTTTTGCTTCTACACTTTTACCAGCTACTGCTCTTCCCAGCGAATGACCTGCGGTATCCACTCTGCGGCGAATTCCCGTTCCCAGATGACCCATTTGTTTAATTTACCTTATTATCGTTGAACACACCTCGATGCACGTATAGCAGACTGAGAGATTGTCGGATGAAATGGGACGCGTTTCGTATAACAACAACCCCGCGTACAAATACTGCACCACAACTGCTTATATTTACTCCGAAATTAAAATCACGCGTAGAAAGCTATTCGAGGCAATATATATTACGTCGTTTATAAAGGCGTAGGCGGGGATGCGAGAGATCCGACGCATGTTTACGAAGCTATGAACAGCACGCGGGGGTGGTAACGCTATGGAAAGGCACGGCAGACCACTAACGCTTCGAACCTTACATGTAACATCGGGAAGAAATCATGCAGGCCTGATGGTCTCGCTAAATGTGTTAATTAATAGGTAGACGGGAAGAAATATGGGTGGGAGTCACAGTGCTCTCGCTAAACGATATTCGGGCCAGTGAGAAAAGGCAAGATGGCACTAACAGAATCTGCCCCTATAATAGTTTGCATGCAACTCGCAAAACTCAACAGGCAAGACACACACATACACACGCACACACGCACGTACGCACGCACGCACGCAACATGCACACACGCAACATCCACAAACGCACACACGCGCGCACGCACGCACGCACACACGCGCGCGCGCACGCACGCACGCACACACGCGCGCGCGCAACGTGCACAAACGCACGTACATACAGTGCCACGGCGTAGCACGGCATTACGTTGTCTACGCATTGATTTCCTACAGCACGGGCATAGCTGATGGAGCCAGCGTTTGTCAGACAAAGACATTCCACTGTTCAATAACATGGCTCTAATTCTACACACAAACACGCACGCTCCTGTGCTAATAGGCTGCAGCAAATTAACACAGAGAAAAGAAATCATTGAGCAAGAGGGGAAGAAATGCATGAGAGTGTGTGAGAGAGAAAGATAGAGACAGAGAGTAAGAGATAAACGCGAGAGAACGCGAGCGAGCGAGAGAGAGGAATGGGGAGGATGGGGAAAAATAAAAAAGAAGGGCAAAAAGGAGACGTCGCGCGAATAGAGAGAACGAGGGCGCGAGGAAAGAGAGAGACGGATGGGGATAAAGGAGAGAGATAGTGCGCGTGCCCGTGTGCGTGCTTGCGTGCGTGCGCGCGCGTGAGAGAGAGAAGGAAAGGAGATTGAGAGAGATAGCGAGAGAGCGAGAGAGAGAGAAGAAGAGGGGATAAGAGAATAGGAGGGTAGGTCCGAATTTTCGCTCGGCCCGAAACCGCGCGGCAGTCACGTCGTCACAATACAATCGTGTGCATGTATTTACACGCGTCCGTGCATCGGGACATGCTGTACCTACCGTAGCACACACACCGACACACGTACTCGCCAACGGTAACCGCCCTTAGCATAGAGCTAGCTACCCAACAGGGAGTCGTATCGATCTGACCAGTCTGCCCAGGTGACATGGTCTCACTGATACAGGTAGAAAAAAGGCAACGGGCATGAGCGAGAGCGCAAACCACTCACTCTCACTCAGACAGAGGTTTTAAACACACTGTACCAACTACTCGGCGCGTTTCATCTGCTAAGCTAACAGTACAGCCGTTACGTACAGGCGGCTCCTCTTACTCTATTATTCCCAAAAAGCTTCGATCAGCGACAGTGAAAGGTATCCAAAGCTATCATCACCACGATCATATCGAAAACTGACAAGGCCAACTATGCTACAAAAATCTGCAATCCATACATGGTAGTGCCGGTAGCATTCTACGCTCTGTGGTACCCGTCGGTCACTCGGTTCACCATCTACTGTACGGTGTCAATCCGCCTCCTTCGATCCCACTACTCAATGTAGCTCTAGTAGTATAGCACACGTACAGTTGCCGCAGGCACTGTACAGGCCACAGGCACTTGAACTTTCAATAATATATAATGCTAAATAAATACGAAATCTATTTACTACCAAAGTCTCAATGTTTCTCTACTCTCTTTCAGCTATTATTGCCGACAATTTCCTGTAAATGCCGTCCAAATGCTCATCTGCAACACACGCTGGCTGCCGCATGCTAGCTGCTGCACACTGACACATACATATATATTTTGGCATTTACAGGAAATTGTCGGCAATAATAGCTGAAAGAGAGTAAAGAAACATTAAGACTTTGGTAGTAAATAGATTTCGAATTTATTTAGCATTATATTTTATTGAATCGCTCCAAGTGCCTGTGGCCTGTACAGTGCCTGCGGCAACTGTACGCGGGCTATAGTACTAGAGCTATACTCAAAGCAAAATATCGCTCACCACTGTAAAACATCACTGCCTGTATACGGTACAACAATACATCACTCGGTACAATACGATGTCACTATACTCGTTATTGCATGACGTTACTAGCTATTGTACAATGTCACTGACTATTGTATGGTGTCACCACTAGCTACTGCATGCTGTCAGGCTCTAATGTGAAATTTAACATGCTACTGCACGGTGCAACTCGCGGCCAAATCCTATGAGAGCTGTCCACATTTGCACATGTCGCACATTTGCGAAAATGAACTGTGGTCAGCGCTTATATCCATGAACCCAACTCACCACTGCATGTTGCAAGGGTTGATCCTTACACGAACGGTTCAATGTTTCGGACCCCTTACAATGTTTCCACGTTCAACAGTACGATGTAGCATGCATGATGCTGTTGTAGTTAGTTCTCACTCTTCACTGTACCGTGATGCGACTACAGCGTGTATTGTATGGCGCAGCTCCCTTATTCTGTACACTGCACCTATCCTGATCAATGGTGTCACTCCAGACTGTAGTCGCCATTCATTCACCGATCACTCTACGGCGTCATGCCACACTGTACGCTGCCACCCACTCATTCACCGCTCACTCTGCCGTGTTGTCACCCGCCACACTGTATTCGCCACTCACTCGTTCACCGCTCAATCTGCGGTGTCGTCACGCGCCACACTGTACGCTTCCACTCACTCGCTGCTGCAGCGTGTCACTG